TGACCGTCACATTATAACGCCCCACGGCTGAAAGGGCGAGCATGTTTGGTGTGACGGGGATTCGAACCCGCAGATTGCAAGTCGAGCGTCCTAACCACCTGGCCATGCCGGGCCGAATTATTTGGTTACAAATTAGTTATGTATTCCACCAACAAATATAAAGTTATCTGAGTCATCTGTAAAACCAAAACAAAAAATCTCTGAAAAAGTCCAGTACTTATAATGATTAGTATTTTACACCGGACAAATTGTTGACTGCTACATACCTTAAATAATATAGCGTTTTACTTCAGTTGTAAAATAACTTAAAAACTTAACTGAATGTTATCAGATATATATGTTGTACAAATGTACTTTAGCTCTTCTAGTAGGGTTGATAAGTATATCAGCCCTAAACGTGACCTATTCAGATTTGTACAACGGTAAAGATAATGTTCAATATTTCAAAAAATACTCAAATACATTCAACAAAACACATCTCTTGCCCCCCAGTGGCACAGCGGTATGTCTGCGAATTTACAACGCTAGAAACCGGGTTTCGATACCCGTGGTGGGCAGAGCACAGATAGCCCTTGTGTAGCTTTGTGCATAATTAAAAACAAAACAAAAAAAACACATCTCTTACACAGATTTAAACTTACGCCCCCGAATTAGCTACATTTTTGTGATGAAACAACAAAAGATCTGAAACATTTGAACTTCAGTGTTAGATATTACAATTTACCTTGTCTGATACGTTCACATAACAGACATCTTGAAAAATCATTAACTTATATGTCCTTCCAAGGGTTTATAAACAGAATAAATTTGAAATATTTCTTGTATTTCTAGCTTCTACTCCAAAAATTTATTGGTAAAAGCAGAAGAAGAGCAGTTACCGTTCAGTTTCCACTTTTTTTCTATTGACTTATGATGACAGTTGGCCTCTTTTCCATTATAATGGTGATTAATTTTACGAATCTTTTTCCTTGTTTTTTTCTCACTCTCCAAATGGCGAATTGGTAAACGAAGTTTATGATGAAGTCTGTGAGGAGTTGATTCGTCTATTTGATCACGACAGCATCTTTGAGCCTGGAAATGTTTAGAACTAGTATGCTATTATTGCACCAATAACAAATATTAAATGATATTTTTTAATTTATTCTAAACATACGTTCATATTAAGGAATATATTTATGTTATTTTTACTTGGATGAGGGACTTTTTTTGTCTTGCTAACTTTCAATAGAATGTGAAACAATGGCGACGTTTTCTTGCAGGTCATTGGATAAGTGTCTCTCGTTTGATCTTGTTATTATTTTATGTTATCTATTTTCATGTTTCCTGTAAGTTTATTTGTAAGTTTACAGTTGAACAGTTCAATATTTTTTGCATTTTTCTTTTTTAACGTGAGCCTATTTTCTTCTACCTTCACAGATTTTGTAAATAATTTTCCATTCTGTATAAAGCAATCTCACAATCAGGGACTATTATAGGGTGTCATTTTGGGAAGGGGAGGGTACGTATTTTGAGAATGTTTAAAACATTTGGTAATAAAAGTTAAAAAAACACATTGGTTATACTATTTTTCGAAAAAATGTGATGTTTAAGTGGCTATGATTAGTGACTTTTATAATTAGTGATATCTTTTATAAGCGGAAACATTTGTTAGCTGAGTTCTTGCACAGATCTTAAAATATAACGTTGATAAACGGAAACACGGGCACATGTAGATATGTAGATCTTGAAAGTCGAGTTGTTCAAAACTTGAAAATAGCGTTGATAACTGGACCAATTGTTGGTTGAAATGTTGCAAAGGAAATATCTGCT